CTGGCTGATAGCAAGCAGTAGTTCAGCCCCTGCTTACAGTTTAAAAACCATTGGGGAAGCCTGCAGGGTATTTTTTGCTAGGGGTAAAGTCCATCTTTCCACATATGCAAGCAAATTTTGCTTGGTATTGTTGCAGTCTCTAGCCCAGTGGTCACCAACCAGTAGGTTGGGATCTACTGGTAGATCCTGGAGCCTCTGACAGGTGATCCTGACTGGTTTGGCTGACAAGCTATTAAGCTCTGGCACTTCAATTGTCCCTCCACCCACTATCCTGCTGCTTCTACCTTCCGCCTTGCAGCTGCCCCCCGGGAGCCTCCTGCTTGCTGCTCAGGGTGTGGGAGGAAGAAGGGGGGGCACTGATGTCAGGGTGTCCCTCCTCCCCCCACTTGTGTAGCCTATTGCCACACACAGAGAAAAGGGGATGGAGGGAGCTTAGCAATACAAATCTCTGTCACTCTCACACCCTGGGAGTATGTCTACACTATGGTAATTTTTTCCGAAAAAACTTCAATTACGCCCACTCTGCAATCATGTTCTTTTGAAAGAAAATTGAAAGAACAGAGGGGGTTTTCTGAAATTGGTAAATCTCTTTGTATGAGGAAGAAACCTTTTTCCTGAAAGAGCTCTTTCAGAAAAAGGCATGTGTGGATGGGGAAGAGGGTTTTCTTTAAAAAGAAGTGGAAAGACGAAAAAGTACAGGTGCTCTGGTGGCCACTCCATCCATAGTAATCACAGCTTAAATGCGAGATAGCGTCCATTCCGTGTGGACGCTATCTTTCGAAAAAGTAGATCACTTTTTCAATGCACTTTGGTAGTGTGGATGATCTCCTTCGGAAGAAGTTTTTTCAGTAGTCTACACATAGCCTGGGTGTGTCTGTCATTCTCACAAACACACACTGTCCTTCACTCTCATCTCAAGCAGGGAAAGGTATTTGGGTTTGAAGTAAATCTTACATTGCACTTAAATTGAACAAGTGATCTGGTACAGGCAGTCCCCGGGTTACGTACAAGATAGGGACTGTAGGTTTGTTCTTAAGTTGAATCTGTATGTAAGTCGGAACTGGCGACTGATCAGTTTCAACAGCGGCTGAATCTGGACGCCAGTTCTGACTTACATACAGATTCAACTTAAGAACCCCAGGCATCCCCAAGTCAGCTGCTGCTGAA